CCCGAACGCCGCGGAGCACCTGGGGGTGAGCGGCCGCGGGGCGCCCAGGCGCTCACATTTGCAAACTTCTTCCCAGGGCGTGGGTGCATCGTGGAGGGTCCAGCCCCGCCTTGGAAGTGGACTGGAACTGCCCGCGGCTGGCTGGGTAATTTTAGGAAGTTATGGGCGGGTCGTGAGTTTGTGAAGCGCGTCTGAGCTTTTGGTGGTACCAGTTTGCTTCTCTGTGTTTGAACGGGTGAAATTCTAAAGACCGCTCCTGTCGACCCTCCCCGACCCCCGCCCTCTTCGTTCATTTAACTTCCACTGCTTGCCTAGTGAGAAGTGATTCAGAGCAGTTTCTTCAAGCCCTGGTGTGGTAGAATTAATGACGGTCCTGAGCAACGTTGCTGGCCTTTTCGTTGCTAATCACCCTGTAAACAACCATTAAGTCGTCCTTGGATCTCTGTATTCAATTGCTCTCAGGAGGTACTTAAGCACCGGGGACTTTGGGGCATCAGATATGCAGTAACGCACGCACAAACGCGCACACCCACGAAGTTAGGGCTGGCTCAGTCCGGGTTATCTCCTTTCACCTGGCATTAGGGTCATAGTGTGTTAGGCATAGGTGTTAGGCATAGTGTGTTAGGGGTGTTGCCAGGGACGGGGGAGGCATTGTGTTCCGCTGAATTGCTAACCTGAGAGTTGTCCTCAGCCTAACCCTACTGACCACAGAAATTCCTCTGGCGGGGGCACTCTTAGATTCAAAAATGGGGTGGATTCTCAAACATGTTATAGGAATTCTTCTAATACTCAGCACCTTTGAATGCTGCTTTACATCTGACCTATATTTCGATTTCTCTGATTCTTGGCTTCTTGTGGAAAATCAGTAACATATTGTACAAATAAAACTAATTTTTTTCCACTTGACATTTTATCCCAATATGGTATCCTCTGTGAATTAAGTACGTTAGTCCGTGCATAAGTATGTAGCCTTTTTTTTTATTATTATTTATATTTGTTTGGAAAAACGATTGAAAGTACATTATAGACGTTATGGCCCTTCATCCCTGAATATTCTAGTAGGTATCTCCTAAGAGAAACACATTCTCTGACCAAAATACATTGATCATATTCAGGGTGTTTGACATTGCTACAGTAATTTTATCTAATATATGCTACCTATAAAAATTTTGTCAATTGTCCCAATAATGCCATTTACTGCAGCATACTTTTTCATTATCATGCATTGTATTTAGTTATGTGTCTTTAGTCTCTGTAAACCTTGAATAGTTCCCCAATCTTTTTGGCTTTGATGACACTGATATATATATATTTTTAATTTTCTTTTAATGTTTATTTATTTTTGAGACAGAGAGAGACAGAGCATGAACAGGGGAAGGTCAGAGAGAGAGGGAGACACAGAATCGGAAGCAGGCTCCAGACTCTGAGCTGTCAGCCCAGAGCCCGACGCGGGGCTCGAACTCACGGACCGTGAGATCATGACCTGAGCTGAAGTCAGACGCTTAACCGACTGAGCCACCCAGGCGCCCCTGATGACACTGATATTTTTACAGAGTCTAGGTCACTTGTCTTGTAGAAAAAGTTTGTCTGATTGTTTTTCATTAGATTTTTGGTAGAAGAACTCTAAAGTGATGTGTTTCAGTGCATCACACCGGGGGAGGTACATGAGGTCACTTCGTCCCACTTTCGGTGGTCCTGATTGGTGGTGTTTGCCAGAGTTTTCCACTGTGAAAGTGAAAAAAACAAAAGCTTTAGCAATAAATAAGTGATCATATTGCATAGTCTTCTTGGTTCATATTGAGATTTTAAGGATAAATTTATCTGCCTACACAAAGGAAAATTTTTACCAAGCCTTTTAATTGACCTGAAAGACGTAAATTTTATTGAGACTAAAAGTAGAAGCAGAAAGACCAGGATTGGTTACAGTTAATTTGTCAGTTTGCTAAATACTTCATCTGTGACAGTCGTATAACTCAGGTAGGTAAGGCAAGAATTTCCCATTGTATAGATGTCGAAATGGCTTGCTCAATTAGCAACTGAGGTAGCCGGGACTTAAATATCCTGCTTTTGACATTTTAGTAGTACTTTTCCTACTACACCATCATGCACTGAAAAACAGATTAAATACAACAGTATGCAACTGTATGAGGAAGGAGAATCCTGCTGAGGCTGAAGGTATTAGTTTTGAGTTCAGGCAGTTCTGAGTATATCACTTACTACCTGTGATGCCATGAGCAAGAGAATTCCTTACGTCTGTAAACTTGAGTTTCTTCATCTGAAGCATGGTACCAGAGTATTTACCACATAGGATAGTTTTGGGATTTCACAGTTAATATATTTGATGCATCCAACAGAGTGACAGAATAAGTGCTTATTAATATGAGCCATTCTTATTCTATATAGCTTTTGGAATTGGCCTTGGCATCTGTATCACTACTGTCATCACTGATACCTCCATTAATGCCTCAGTCACCACCTCAACAATCAGTAATTGAGGATCCATGTGAGATACTGAGGGTAAAAAAAATGAATTTGAGGGGTGCCTGGGTGGCTCGGTCGGTTAAGTTTCCAGCTTCAGCTCAGGTCGTGATCTCGTGGCTTGTGAGTTCCAGCCCCGCGTCGGGCTCTGTGCTGACAGCTCAGAGCCTGGAGCCTGCTTCAGCTTCTGTGTCTCCCTCTTTCTCTCTGCCCTTTCCTCACTGGTGCTTTGTCTCTCTTCCCCCGTCAAACATAAATAAACATTAAAAACAATTTAAAAATGAATTTGACAGTCTTTGCTCTCAATGAAGGATCAGGAGTTCATAATCAAGAGAAACAGACACAAAAACAGTGATTTTTGTTGGTATCACCCATGAACCAAATTTAATGCTGCATTTTTCTCACGTTGGGTTTACGTCTAATGAAATCATCAGAGCTTTACTAGGTTAGAGAACGCGATGAATACTAAGAATGATATTGTGTGACTTGACGTGTAACAGCTCAAGCATGGAAGACAGAAACATGCTTTGGGGAAATTTACAAATACCGCTTTAAGCAGAACAGTGTAACTTTGCCATGCGTTTGAAATAAGGCATGGGAGCTGAAAAATGTTACCAAATTATTAAAATGATGTCAGTCAGCAAAAAGCTATAGCAATCATTTGGTAAAAAGTGATTGGATGTGGTATGAGAGGCCACAGACATATGGTGGCTTTGCTTGGCCAGTGTTTTCACGTACCTGGAAGACCTGAACCAAAGTTACAGCTCTGGCACATGCCGCTGTTGGGAATTTGAGCAAGTTTCTTTCCTCTCTGTAAAACAGATTAATTAGAATAACTGTCTGATGGGGTTGTTGAAGAAAATGTAAATAGCAACACAGGTTACCTACAGCATTAGGTCCTCAAAGCAAAGGACTTGGAACTGGTCAAGTATAATTATGAAGGAAGTAAAGTCAGTTTTCCCTTTATTTCTCCAGTATTTCCACTTTTTTTTAGTATTAAAATTTTTAAAAAATGTTTATTTTTTGAAAGAGAGGGAGACAAAGCACGAGCTGGGGTGGGGCACAGAGAAAGAGAGACACAGAATCGGAAGCAGGCTCCAGGCTCTGAGCTGTCAGCACAGAGCCTGACGCAGGGCTGGAACTCACGAACTGTGAGCTCATGACCTGAGCCAAAGTCGGATGCTTAACTGACTTAGCCACTCAGGTACCCCTCCACTATTTCCACTTAAAAAAAAATTTTTTTTTAATGTCTATTTTTGAGAGAGAGAGAGAGAGAGAGAGAGAGAGAGAGACAGAGAGAGACAGAGTGTGAGCAAGGGAGGGGCAGAGAGAGAGGGAGACAGAGGATCCAAAGCAGGGTCTGCACTGTCAGCACAGAGCTTGATTCAGGGCTCAAACTCACAAATTGTGAGATCATGACCTGAGCCAAAGTTGGATGCTTAACTGACTGAGCCACCTAGACCCCCCCTATGAAAGACATATAAACAAAAGTACATGGAAAAGTTGAAAACAGAGTCTATAAAAAAATTTATCAGGCAAAAAATAAGCAAGAGAAAGCTGATTAGATATAATGTACAAAATACTCTTAAGGCAAAAATGTACTACTAGAGGTAAAGGGAGTCACTATAATGATACAGATTGTATCACTGTCTCACAATAATAAAAGTTTTCATTCAACAGGAAGTTGTAAGAATTGTAAAATGTATATGCAGTAACATGGCATCAAAACCTAGCATTCAAATATGTAAAACAACTATTGACAGAAGCAAAAATCTATAAGGAGATCTAGACAAATCCAAACTAGAGTAGAATTTTTCCCACATACCTCTGTTACCAGCTGAAATATCAACCAGGCAGAAATTGGTAAGAGAGCTATTAAAGGGCACCAGGGTGGCTCGGTTGAGTGATGGACTCTTGATTTCGGCTCAGGCAACGATCTCAGCTCAGGTCATGATCTTGCATTTTGTGGGTTCTAGCCCTACGACGGGCTCTGTGCTGACAACTTGGAGCCTGCTTGGAATTCTCTCTCTTCTTTCCTTTCTCTCTCTCAAAATAAACTTAAAAAAAAAAAAAAGGTAAATGATGACAATCTGATCATGAGAAAACATTAGACACACCCACCATCTGTAGATCTAATTTTACTTTAACTACAACACTTAGTTTCTTCTGTTATCTAATCATTCTTTGACCACCTGGCTTTAGAGTGCTGCATGAGAGAGAGCATTCAAAGGACAGGTAGGAGAGCTTTCTGAACACCAAACAGAGCAAGTTTTTCTTTGCGTATTTTTAAATGTGTGTGTATTTACTCAATGTTGCCAAATACAAAGTGATGTATGTTTGAAACGGTAGTGAGTGCTCCTTGGTTTGCACTTGAATTCCATTGACTAATTATAAAGACTTACTTTTTCTGCATTCAGGGACAACTTAAAAATTTTTAATTGAGAAAGGGAGTAGCACTTGCTGCCCCGGGAATTCTTTATGCTGTGTACTTTACCCAAGGTTGTTTTTCTTTGTTTTGCTTCCATTTTTTTTCCCCCTTTTAAAAATTGGCACTTTGGTGGCTTTGATCTAAGGTAGAGGACTTCAGAGGCATTGCCGACGAGGACCATACATACTCTTTCTCACCGATACCAGCATGACTACCAATTATGGCTGCTCTATCTACGTTTGGATAGTGCTTGAATAAAATATCTTAAATATTGCTTATAAAAACAAATATATGAATTTTATTTCTGAGTGACTAACTTCCTTTGCATTGAATTAACTCTGTGATTTCCCTCTTGAATCTTCCCTGTTCACTTTGTACAGAAATGCGTTTTCAGCATACTCGGGTCATTATAGCCCAACCTCAATGTCAGTGCAAAGGGGAACAACTTTCAGACTGGACTGTAAGTGTCACATTTCCCTAAGTCTCTTCCACTTCAGGGTAAAAGAAATGTATACTAGTGGAGAATACCAAAAAGAAAGTCTTGATGTTGACATCTTGTGAATGTTGGAAGTAAGCAAAAATGAGAAGTTGGGAGGAAATCTGAACCAGAAATAATCTGCTTAGTGAATCATGCATTGTGTTAGTCACCTATTTGGCAACTACCCATTGAGTCCCAAGCTCTCTGTTAGGCACAGAAGATACAGAGATTCTTTCCTTTAGCAGCTATAAAGAGAGGGTGTATTCTTTTTTTTTCTTAAAAAATTTTTTTTTAATCTTTATTTTTGAGAGAGAGAGAGCGAGCATGGGGGAGGAACAGATAGAGAAGGAGACACAGAATCCAAAGCAGGCTCCAGGCTCTGAGCTGTCAGCACAGAGCCTGATACGGGGCTCGAACCCACAAACTGTGAGATCATGACCTGAGCCGAAGTTGGACGCTTAAAGCAGGCGCTGTTTTAGATATGGCTCCACTTTTATAAAACTTATATTCTTGTGCAGGGTAACAGATAACAAAAAAAGTAAAAAAGTAGATAAGGTAATTTATGGTAAAACAAAAAACAGAATGCTAAATGCTTTAACAAGAAAATAAAGCAGGATAAACAGGATCAAAATTGGCTGGGGTGAAAGGATGGTTGGGGAGGGCTCCCCAAGGAGGTGATGTCTGTGCTGAGTTGTGAATGACCCCAGGAAGGAATGTTCTCAGAAATCACAAGGCACTTAGGCAGGAATGAGAGCAATGCATTTAAAAAGAGCACAGCTTGGGGCGCCTGGGTGGCTCAGTCGGTTAAATGTCCGACTTCAGCTCAGGGCATGATCTCACACTCTGTGAGTTCGAGCCCCGCGTCGGGCTCTGTGCTGAGAGCTCAGAGCCTAGAGCCTGCTTCACATTCTTTGTCTCCCTCTCTCTCTGCTCCTTCCCTGCTCATGCTCTGTCTCTCTCTGTCTCAAAAATAAATAAACATTAAAAAAAAAATTAAAAAAAATAAATTAAAAAAAAAAAAGCACAGCTTGTAGAATGTCCCTGATTTGGGGTATGTCCAGTGTTTCCTCATCATTGATTCAGCTTAATCATATTTGGAATTTATGCTAATTCTCTATGAGGGGTGTGTTACTCAGTGTATCATGTTAGGAGCTGTATGTCAGTTTATCTTGTTATTGATGTTATGAAAGTTAAAGGAAAGCTGAGAACCTGTTACAGATCAAACAGACTGAAGGTGGTTGACAACACAGGTAATGTAGTCATAGCTGCTCCAAGGAACAGTATTGAGGCGATTAGTGAATAATTATGGTGTCATTGGTAAATTCCTTAAATTCACTGTTTTTTAAAGTTTATTTTTTGAGAGAGAGAGAGAGAGAGAGAGAGAGAGAGAGAGAGAGAATCCCAAGCAGGCTCTGCACCATCAGCCCAGACAGCCAGCCTGACGCGGGGCTCGAACTCACAAACCATGAGGTCATGACCTGAGCCTAAATGAAAAGTCTGATGCTTAACTGACTGAGCCACTCAGGCACCCCATAAATTTGACTATTTTATGCAAAGGACTATTCTTGCCCTTAGGAGATACATGCTGAAGTATTTGGGGTGAAGGGCCATGATGTTGGCAAATTACCCATGAATTAGCAATCATAACTGTAATACACACATAGAGTAAGGAATAAGTCAAATGTGGCAAAATGTTCTCAGTTGGTGAATCCAAGTGAAGCATGTACTTGGATTTATTGGATTATTCTTGCAATAAAACTTAAAAAAGCGTGTGCCTGCAACAAATGGAGTTACAACAGAGAAAACCCTGTTTCCAGCTATTGGTCTCACAGTGTAGTTATGTAAACAATAAATGGTAATACGTAGAAGTTCAGAAAAGGGTGGAGGAAAGGGTTCCTGGAGTAAAAGGGTGCCCGGGCTCAGATAAGGATGTAGCAGGAAATACAAACAAACAGTCACACAGGGTGCTCTTGGGGACCAGTGGCAAGGATGGAGGTGGGCAAGCTTTGCTGCTGGAGGTGGTGGGGAGATGATGTTGGCTTTGAAGTGCCAGCAGGACCTGCAGGTGATGGTCAGTAGACTGTTGGGAATGGGCATCTCTAGCTCCAGGTGCAGATTTGGGAACCATCCGACACCGGAAGTTGTTGAAATCTCAGAAGGGCAGGAAGTTGGTCAGAGAGGGTATCTCTGGTGACAGAGGGTTGAGGACGGAAGCCCAGAGAATACCCAGGTAAAGAGTGGTGGAGGAGGATGAGCTACCAGAGGGACTGAGAGGGGAGGGCCAGGTAAATCAGAGGAGGGAGTGATGCAGAGGAGAGGTGAGGGAGATAGGAGTAAGGAGAGTTCAAGGAGAGCGTGCTCCGTGTGGCACATTGCCAAAGGGAGGTCAAGTCAGGTGAGGGGCAAAAGTGTTCCCTGGACTTGGTAGTCAGGGAAATCTTCTTGTAGGAAGTGAATTTTTTTTTTTTAAGGTTATTTATTTATTGAGAGAGAGGATCTCAAGCAGGCAGCATGCTGTCAGCCCAGAGCCCGACTCAGGGCTCAATCCCAAGAACCGTGAGATCATAACTTGAGCTGGAGATGAAATCAAGAGTCAGATGCTTAACCAACTGAGCCTCACAGGTGCTCCCCAGGAAGTGAATTTTAAGCTCAGCTTCGGGAGGTAAGAGTCAGGGAGGCAAAGGATGGAGGGTGATGGTGGCGGATAAGTCTTCTTCACAGCACAAAGCATAGGTGACAGCAAGGGGACAGGAGGATGCAAAGTCCACTCAGGCGACTGCAGAAGGCCAGTGTGGCTGGAGTGTGGTTGGAGGAGACAGTGAGGTGAGAACAGTCATGGGCAGTAATGCTGGTGAAGTAGGCAAGGGTCAGAGCATACAAAACGTTTTATAAGAGTTTGGATTTTGTCCTAAAAGTGAGGGACACTACTGGAGAATTTGAAGTCTTGGGATATATTATTGAACATTTCTGCATTTTACAAAGATCCGTTTAGGGGGCACCTGGCTGGCTCAGTCAGTAGAGCATGTGACTCTTGATCTTAGGGTCCAGAGTTCAAGCCCCATGTTGGGCCAGAGCTTACTTAAAAAAAAACAAAAACAAAAACAAAAACAAAAACAAAAAAACAAAAAAACAAATAAAAAGATCCCTTTGGCCAAAAATGGACTAGCACCTTGGTGTGGGGTGAGGGTGGGGATAAATCTCAGGCTGGGGAGACCTCTGGAGGCTGTTGTGGTAATCTAGACTTGCACAGTAGGTATGCAGGTTGAAAGTGAATAGTGACTTAGGTTTGAGAATCAAGACAGAGATGTTGGAACTAGTTGGAGAGAGAGATTGTAAAGCATGGGTTTCTAGGTCACAGAACTTGGTGGGTGTTGGCTGCCGCTATTCACCGAGATGCAGAAAGAACAGGTTGGGGGAAAATAGCATGAGTTCAGTGTTAGACGTGTTAGGGTGGGAGGTGTCTGTGTGCTATCCAGATTATGTCCGTTGGGCAGTTAGATGGAGATCCTGAACCTAATAGAGAGGTGTTGGGTGGGGACTGTCATATATTTGGGGCTCATAAGCACATGGATGGTTTGTGAAGTCACAAATAAAGGAAGGCCAGAGAAATAAGAGGTTTTCTAGGGAGAAAATGAGGAGGAATTTTTAAATTAACATTGAATTTGACCATGTGATGATTGAAGGGGAGTAGATAGGAAAACTGAAAGGATCCAAGGGAGTAAATTCCTCCTGTTATAGGCACCTATTAAGAAATTGTTTACTCATCAATTTATTCATTTATTGAGCAAATATTTGTTAACCTCAGAAGAATATTAACCTTGGAGTAAAGAGACCTGGATATTATTGACTCTGAAATGAGCTGACTTTGTTATCTTGAGCACAGCACTTAATCACTCCAAGTCTGGTTTCTTTATGTCCATTTCCACTACAAGTTTTCTAAGAAATATTAATAAACGAATCATAACTTCCAAAATATTTTATAGTAGAAACGTATATAAAACAGTAAGTTAGAACTTATGGCAGAGGTCAGCCCCAGAATTTGCTAAAGGTGAGACCTTATGAATGTGTCCTCTTTGGTGTATTAATACTTGATCTGGGCTTTTCACTCAAGATAGTAGACTGTGCACATGTGCTTATGTCCGTTGCTTCTCTGAACCTCATTAAAAGAGAAGAAAAATAAAAAATGGCATCACTTGCCAACAGTGCTGGGAATAAGACCAGAATTTTTTTTTTTTTTTGACTGTTCTGGAAAATTACAAAGGCACTGGCGTCATCGGGTAAATCAGTGACAGAAAAGGCAGCCAATGGAGGTAGAACTGTTCTTTCCAGAGACCTCTGGAAGCTTCCATGCTTGGAATTGCCAGATACGGATATGGATTAGGAAATAGGAAGAAATCAGGAAGAAATAATTGATGAATGGAAACGTGGACCAACTAGTTCAATCCCCACGGCCCCGCAACTGCTTATACTTTGAATTCACCCGTTCCAGTCTGTGCAATTCAACTTGGAACCTGTTGTGCACTGAATGTTTGTGTCGCTCTCAAATTCACATGTTGAATACACAGTGAATTCACAAACTGAATACCCAGTTTGATGGTGTTTGGAGATGAGGCCATCAGAAGGTTAATTGGGTTTGGATGTGGTCATGAGGCTGGGCCCCCATGATGGGATTAGTGTCCTTACAGGAAGAGGAAGAGACTGGAGCTCTCTCTGCACTGTGAGGGCATTGCGGGAAGATGGCTATCTGTGAGCTAGGAAGGGAGTTCTCACCAGGAGCCAAATCAGCTGCACCTTGATCTTGGACTTCCCATCCTCCAGAACTGTGAGGTATAAACGTGTGTAGTTGAAGCCACAGTCTGTGGTGATTTGTTACGGCAGCCCACGCAACCAGGAGTCAGTCTTTGCTAAAGTTAGCCTCACACCCAGCACTCCCCACTTCAGGCCACGGCCTTCCAAACAAATATGAAGTGTTATTATGATGGTACACAATGGATGGTGTTTTCAGGGCAGAAACTTTCTTTATAGGCAGGTTTCTCACAACATTTATCCCTAAAGCTTAATTGTATTAACCTGTGCCTTAAAGAAGTTACTTCTCTGGAGAAATAGTTTCTGCTGCTCAGATTTATACATCCTGGGCAATACCTAGTTACTCTGTTTCTATTGTTTTCTTGTTCACATATCAGGATTTTTTTTTAGTTTTAACATTTTTTTTTTTTTTTTTTTTTTTTTTTGTATTTAGCAGAGGATAGATAGCTCTCTTCGTGAGTTCCTGAAGTACAGATACTACATAGGTAGTGAGTATGAAGTTTGTATCTTTAGGTGGGCAAAGATGTTTTCTAATAACTTGGCTTAATCCAGGAGACACTGTTTCCTCTCTTTGGAAGAAAAATACCATCTTGTCAATTCAAAGGAATTTATTCCAATTGTTTTCCTCACTCCCTCTTTCCCGTACCGTAGGTGAGCTCAGTTTCTGCAGGTGGGGATGGGTGTGGTTTTGAATATCTTGGCACTGGGGGAGGAGCATTTGGGCTGAAGACCATCCTTTGCCTTCTCAGCTCCCGCTTACCTTGGGGACTTGGACATGAGTCTCTGTTGATTCCCTGGGCTTTGCTCTGGCTTCTGAAGGTCCAGCTGTGCGGCGTGTTTTTGCTTTCCTTGGAAAAATGGGAAATGAAGGTACGGTCTTCCTTCCCTGCTTGAGGAGTGAGTGCAGGAGGCGGGGCTGCCCTGGGACCCCAAGGGCACAGCAATCTATCTTTGTTACTCATCCCACTCCCAGGAGCTAAGCAGCCTCACAGGGCTGGCCGTGCAGCTGACATTCATCTCCATGGGCAACACTGTGGGAACCTAGGGAGTTGGCTGGTGTTTTTATTATTCTCCCCACTCATCTCAGGTGTCAGGTCTCGAGAGGGTGGGCAACATCTAAGCGCTGGTCATGTCTCCTTCTTCCACGAACTGGAGCCACACATTCCCTTCCAGGCGGGAAAATGATTCTCCAGCCTGGTCTGTTCTCTCCTCTACAACTTATGGGAATAAATTTTGTGCTGTGAATCCTCAGGGCTTCATTATTTATATGCAAAGCCATGCTTTTGAAATTTTAAATGATTCTCTTTCAGAAAGCCCAGTTCTGAAAATCTGGAGCATTATAGCTCTTGAAAGCCTCTGTGCATCCTCTAGACGTGAACCTGAGCGACATGCCCATGGGCAGTATCTATTCACAGAGTATACTCTAAGTAATGGAATGAGTTGACTTGATGGAATTATCTAGAATTGACTATTAGAATTTTAGGGAAAAGCTGCCAAAGCAATGATTATGGTTTTGGCCACATTGGTTGTTAAATTTTTTTTTTTTTTCCTGATAGTAATTAACCAAGTATTTTAAGTCTTTTTTGGTTCATGATTTTAAAATCATGCCATCTGGGTAGAGAACAATGCTTATACTCCTGTTCATGAAGGCAGATGGGTAGGCTGGCACTTCCTTGAAAGCAATATTAAAGTTATTTCAGTGTATCCGAGTTTATGACATCAGGAGATGAAACTGTAGAAACACTGCCTAGAAGGCATTGATGAGTAATAGAAGAGGTAATACTAAGAGATGGGTAATCTTAATGGGTATCTTAAAATTGCTTGCTCCTTCTGTAGGTTGACACGAACTGCTGAGTACTGAAATGAAGTCCCACAAGAATTAAAGCTCCTCATGACAATTCTTGGTGTTAGGGAATTGCTCTTTTGGAAGATGGTATAAATTATATCTCAAGTCCCTTCTAAGGGAAATATTTCTGTTTGAATAAACAACTTATTCACGTTTGGAGGACACTACTCAGCATAGGAGCTAAAACAATACACCTTGAAAAATTTTTTCAATTTAAAATAATTTATTAAGTGTTTTATAACAGACAGAGTGAAAAATCCCATTGGGAAGAGTTCTAGAATCTTTAACATGTGAAAAGATGTGTGTAAGATAATGATAAATAAAATATCCCATCAGGTTGTCAACAGAGATTTTTGTCTCCACCATTTCTCTTGCAGAAGCGATTCCATATGTGACTGTGTTTTCAAATCCGCATTCATTAGCCTTGGCAGCCACACCCAGTGTGTCACGTGGAGCTCTATCCAATGAATGCTGAAAAACTGCTCGCACTCAGAATACTGCCCGAAGTTCATTAATTTGCCTGTGATTTTCCTTGCATCCAGCCCAGAGAAGTTATCTTGCTGACACAAACAGATTTAAAAAAACTTCGTAGAACTTTATGTTGAACTAAACTCCTAGCTTCTAAATGGACTGGACCTGACCTGTACAACATTTATGAACTTGTAGATAGCAGAACGTATCTTCTAAAAAGTAATTAGAAAGTTTATGAATTTATTAAAGTTATATTCTTTGAGCTTTAACCTTATTATGAAAAGGCATCTCATTACTACAGCGAAGAGATTTTCAGACAGCAATATTGGGAGTGCGAAAATAATTCAGTTTAGGGAGAAATGATTGCTTCAACATTTAACCAGATATGGATTGAACCATATATGTTCCATATATGGAACAACGTGGGCTTTGGAGTCAGACAGTCTTGGTTTTGAACATTGTACACAGACATTCATTCCATCCCTTATTCATTCTATAGTATTTAACTGATACCCAGTTACTGGGGACACAGTGGTAAACAAAACAGGCATTTTACTACCTCTGTGGACCTCATAGTCTAGTGGGGGAAGTAGATAGGAAATAAATGATCGTATAATTAAATAATAGTTACAACTGGTGATTACATGAAGGCTAAGTGCTGGGTGCCATGAAATCAAATACCACAAGGAGTAATTTAGATTGAGGCTCGGAAGGCCAATTGGAGGACTGGAAGCCGGCCATAATGTGGTTGGGTAGAGCGAACCAGAGTAAGAGAGGTTGAGGGAGAAGGGTAGGGAGGGGGAGGAGAGGAGCCAGAAAATGAAGCTGTAAGGTTTGATCAAAATTTTTATCCTTTTTGAATCTAAATTTATTTTTTATAGAATGTGGATAGTAGTAACTGCTTCATGTAATTGCTCTCGGAATTAAATAGCATTATACTTAAGTAATGCTTAATACAGACCTAGCATAATAAGTATTTACTACCTCGTGGCTGTAAATATTAATAATAATACCCTTCTGGAGTTTAAATTCAGGTGTGGTGATAATATCCACCTTAAAAATGGAAATAAGAGGGGCTGGTAGTTGCTTAAAGAGCTTCAGGGAAAAGTTCCACATTTATGCTAATTTTAGAAATGAGTTGTTTATTACAGTCACAACTGAGGGAAAAAGGAAAACAAAACATCTTAATGTTTTCTAATTAATGAGTGAATTTAAGTGACATATCAGCGAGGTTACAGAATATAGATACTGAAGTTATAGATAGTTGATTAATGTAATTTCCTGTAATATACATCTAGTATATAAAAGCTTGAGATCAAGCTTGGCTGTTTCTCAGGGCCTGACAGGCTTCTGAAGGCAGGATGAGTTAAAGAAATAATTGCAAACTTAGTAGTTAAGATATTTTCATAACAAGATTCAGAAAGATTACAAATTAAGTAGGAACGGACCTTCATCCTAACAAGGGTTAACACGTAATTTTGGTTCCTTCAAGATAAGCATTTAACAATATTTTATACTTTTATCCTTATCTAATAATATGTGGATGGATAATTCATGGCCTTTCCTCCCCAGTGTATCTTGGTCAACTATCTCCTCTTATCTCCAGCTTCTTCTAAAGCTCATGTCTCTGTTCTAGGTTGGTCTCTAGCCAAGGCTAATTTAAAAAAATAAGAGATTTACTACTTTCTATTTTTACAAGAAGTGAGTGAAATTCCACCTAAACTTCTTCTAAGGGGCCATTGTTTAGCCCTAGTAAAGTGTTATTATAAATCAGTAAATAAGTTCATCTAGGTATTTTTTTTGTATTTTTATTTAATTCATTTTTTAAAAATTTGCATCCAAGTTAGTTAGCATATAGTGCAACAATGATTTCAGGAGTAGATTCCTTAATGCTCTTACCCATTTAGCCCACCTCCACTCCCACAACCCCTCCAGTAACCCTCTGTTCTCCATATGTAAGAGTCTCTTATGTTTCATCCCCCTCCCTGTTTTTATGTTATTTTTGCTTCCCTTCCCTTATGTTCATCTGTTTTGTTTCTTAAAATCTTCATGTGAATGAAGTCATATGATAATTGTCTTTCTCTGACTAATTTCACTTAGCATAATACCCTCTAGTTCCATCCACGTAGTTGCAAATGGCAAGATTTCATTCTTTTTGATTGCTAATACTCCATTGTAATATATATACCACCTCTTCTTTATCCATTCATCCATCGATGGACATTTGGGCTCTTTCCATACTTCGGCTATTGTTGATAGTGCTGCTGTGAACATGGGGGTGCGTGTGTCCCTTTGAAACAGCATACCTGTATCCCTTGGATAAATATCTAGTAGTACAATTGCTGGGTCATAGGGTAGTTCTATTTTTAATTTTTCAAGGAACCTCCATACTGTTGTCTAGAGTGGCTGCACCAGTTTGCATTCCCACCAGCAGTGCAAAAGAGATCCTCTTTCTCCACATCCTCGCCAACATCTGTCGTTGCCTGAGTTGTTAATGTTAGCTGTTCTGACAGGTGTGAGATGGTATTCTCATTGTGGTTTTGATTTGTATTCCCCTGATGATGAGTGATGTTGAGCATTTTTTCATGTGTCTGTTAGCCCTCTGAATGTCTTCTTTGGAGAAGTGTCTATTCATGTCTTTTGCCCATTTCTTCACTGGATTATTTGTTTTTTTGGGTGTTGAGTTTGATAAGTTCTCTATAGATTTTGGATACTAACCCTTTATCTGATATGTCATTTGCAAATATCTTCTCCCATCCTGTCAGTTGCCTTTTAGTTTTGCTGATTGTTCCCTTTGCTGTGCAGAAGTTTTTATTTTGATGAGATCCCAATAGTTCATTTTTGCTTTTGTTTCCCTTGGCTCTGGAGACGTGTTGAGTAAGAAGTTGCGGTAGTCAAGGTCAAAGAGGTTTTTGCCTGCTTTCTCCTCGAGGATTTTGATGGCTTCCTGTCTTACATTTAGGTCTCTCATCCATTTTGAGTTTATTTTTGTGTCTGGTGTAAGAAAGTGGTCCAGGTTCATTTTTCTGCATGTTGCCGTCCAGTTTTCCCAGCACCACTTGCTGAAGAGACTGTCTTTATTCTATTGGATCTTCTTTCCTGCTTTGTCAAAGATTAGTTGCCCATGTGTTTGTGGGTCCATTTCTGGGTTCTCTGTTCCATTGATCTGAGTGTCTGTTCTTATGCCAGTACCATACTGTCTTGATGATTACAGCTTGAAGTCCGGGATTGTGATGCCTCCTGCTTTGATTTTCCTTTTCCAAGATTGTTTTGACTATTTGGGGTCTTTTCTGGTTCCATACAAATTTTAGGATTGTTTGTTCTAGCTCTGTGAAGAATGCTGGTGTTATTTTGATAGGTATTGCATGGAATATGCAGATTGCTTTGGGTAGTATTGACATTTTAACAATATGGAGCATGGAATATTTTTCCATTTTTTGGTGTCTTCAATTTCTTTCATAAGCTTCCTATAGTTTTCCGTGTATAGATTTTTCACCTCTTTGGCTAGATTTATTCCTAGGTATTTTATGGTTTCTGGTGTCATCTAGGTATT